GGACTTCTTCTCCATTAAAAACATACTGATGGCACTCGAGACTATAATTCTTTAATGCCATAAAGCTTTCAGTTAATTCTCAGATATCTAAATTATATCCGAACATATGTAAGTATATAGACACATATATATTCTAACTACTATGCGGTATATTTTAAGATTTGTTTGCGTCAGTATCTAAATAATGTTTACACACTGTAGCTGATTAGTAAAGTCTCCTGAAGTTTGTTTTAGGTCTAGATTTTTTTATCCCCCCCCCCTTTTTTTGTTTATAGTGTATTTGCTGATGTAAGTGGGTTGGTTATTCATCTTGTAAATTTTCTAAAGTCCACACTTCATTGTTTATCAAAGACCTGATGAAAACTGAGGTTTATTTTACTTTAGAAAAACTAGTTCATGTAGCTGTTTGTTCTGTACCGAGTGTCAGAATGTCCAGTTTTCTCTGTGTTGTGACAGGGAGTTGTTGATGATCAATGTGTAGATTCGTTGATTTGATAGAGTGATGTTGTTATTTGGTTTGGTTTGAGGATTAAACTCAGGACCTTCGCCTGATAAGCAAATGCTCTACTAGCAAACTCCATCCCCTGGCCTATTTGGAATGTCTTAATTTATAGCTGGGAGATTTCTGTAAAGGAGCAACTCTCTGCGATCAATGCTTCGTTTCCTTAGGGGTATGGACACTATAGGAAGGCTAGCATAGGTGCCTGGCTCCACCAGGGAGGTCAGGGGCTCCTCCGGCGTCACGATGAAGTGAGCACTTTAAGCATAGGTAGACCTCCATCAGGAGCAGCTGTCCTTAACACTCAAGCCCTACCTGCTTGAATCTGCACACTGCACGTGTGAAGACAAGATGCATTTTCAGTTCAAACATGCTTTCAGTCTCCGTTCAGGACTACAGAGTTTTTGCTTCATCTGTCTTTTATCTGTGTTTTCTTTTATGCCAGAATTCTCAATTCTCTCAACACTTGGAAATTCTGACATTTCCCCTTTTTAAAACAACAAAAGGACTCCCCAGGCTTAGTATTTTGAGAGGAACAGAATATTCTGTAAAAAACAAGAAACCATTGGTGCTGAATAAAGAGAGCAAGAATGCACAGAAACAGAAATGTTCCTTGTTGTTATAGTAGGTTCCAATAAGTGGAGACAGCTCTGCAGGGGCAAACGGGGTCGTCTCCTGGTAAGGTGGCGCAAAGCTTTTCTAGGGTAAGTGTGTGCTTCAGATGTGTCCCAGCAGATTAAATGAACACCTGAAACCACTATTTTGCAACAGTCGCTAACTTCAGCTCTGCCTCAGGGCCATTTGTAGATCTGTCACGTGGGAACCATCCAGAGTACCAGGTCTTCCAAATCAGCTGGAACCTGCCAGTGAAGGGCAACTGGATTCCAGCCCAGCTGGACAGATTTGTGTGCTTAAGGTCCCCTCCACAGAGCAAGGGCTAGGAGGCCTGTTACATCAATGAACGATGACCAGGATGGTGGAGCTTAAGGCTCCTCTGCATTCTGCAATGAAATCCTGCACGCTGAGCATGTGCTCAGCCTTATGTCGGAGCACATTTCCAGGTTTCTTCATAGTCAAGCAAGGTAACCAGTGCCGGGAGTTCTCTGAGGGAATCCTGTGGCCACACAAGGAGAGAACCATGCTGGGGGTAGGGGTTGGAATGGAAGGGACAGGACAGGACAGGGTGGGACACAACATAGACTCAGCTCAAGAGGAGGCTTGTTCTCACTAGCCTGTCTAAAGCACTGACCGAAACCAACGTAGGAGGGAAGAATCTATTGGGCTCACAAGTTCCGATCACAAGGGTCCATCATCAAGGACCTCAAGGCAGGAGCCTGGACACAGGAATGGTAGCAGAGACCTTGGCAGAATACTGCTTAATGTCCTGTTCCCTCAGGCCCACCTACCCAGGAACGGCACCATTCACAGTGCGGTGGGCCCTCCTGCATTAAATAGCCATCAAGAAAACGCCTCTGCAGACATGACCAGAGGCCAGTCTGATGGAGGGACCAAGAGAACGCGTTCCTCTGGCAGCTGTGTATTAAATATATCTCCAGGCCTCGGTACCAATCTCACAATCAGATCTGATAAGTCTGGTGTGAATCCAGCCCTCACAATTGGCTTGATTTGGTTGGTTTATGCTTAAGAATTTGACCAGAGAGGTCAAAGCTCATAGCTTTCACAGCTCGATTCACTTTCTGTGATTTAGCTGTGGCACTTGGAGAAGTCTAAAGTCATGAATTAGAACCTCTCAATTTCAGAAAGCTTTTCTACTGCTGTTTTGGGGAGATGGGGAAGGGGAACAGGGGGGAAATGTGGATTAGGGGAACACACTGAAATGTGAGATTTGGGTTTGACCAGTGAGGAGAAGGATGACATCTTCCCTTGTCCAATGGGAACTGAGTTATCCAATGGAAGAGCAGTTCTTTTCGAGAAGCTTGCCTCTGCCCTTTCTGCCGTCCTTCCGTTATTGAGTTGGCAAGCTTCCCCACAAAATGACTTACAGAATCAGTTTGTATCTCCCGTAGCCCAGCCTCCCTTTATTACACCACTTTATTGCTGCTCTGAGGCTGAGACTCTAAAATTTGGGTCAAATGATACATTAAGTCAACCACTTTAGAATACCAATAACACTCCTGCAGCACTTTTCATCTTCACGGCGGGCCACAAACATCTCCGTCCTCACTAATGAAGATGGCTTGGATATCCACCGTGTCGAAAACCATAGCTAGTTAATCATTGTCTAATGCGGGGAAGTGAGACAAAAATGCAAGGCCAACAATAAAGTAGTACTGTAAACTTGCTGATTCAAACCTTTTAAAAATTCTTCAACGTGCTGCAGAACTTGTGTATATACACACACACACACACACACACACAAATCCCAGTTTTGTAATGAAAATGCCCATAAGAAGTATGGGGATAATTTTAGCTTTCCGTTTCACAAAGTCCTTTTTAGTAATTATTTCATTTGATCTTTGTGGAGACCCATCAGAAGAGAAGGAATTATTTATTTCCAACAAGACTTATTGTGGTTAATTAACTCAAATGTCAAGTTATTAAATATTTGTGCTGAGACTAGAATCGCAGACTTAAGGCTCCAATTAGAAATTTTTTTTGGAAGACTTCCGACCTGTGCTCTGTGGTAGATGAAAGTTCCCCCGAGGGTGCCGTGAAGGAATGGTGGAGCAATCAGAGTTGGTGTGTCTTTCCAACAACCAGAGCAGCACCACAGTGTACTGTTACGTATGGGGGGGGGCCTTCCGTCTGGGTTCCGCAGTTCAATCACTTCACCAAGCACATGCCTTTCCTCTGCTGCTCTTGATCCAAGTAGGCTGTAGGCCTCATCCCAACGTTATACTCACGGGACCTGCTAAACTTTGTTCGTGGCAGAGGGAGTTACATGAACTCGGCTGCTTACCTCTCCCTCCGCCATCCCAACTCCATCACCACTGCTAAATAGTTGTCTACACCGCTGTAGATATCTGCTGGCCTTTGTATGACCCAACACTCTTATGTTTGTTCAATGTAAGCCATGCTTAGAGTGCTTTCCACTTAGATCTACCTGCTTTCCCCTTCCTGGGTCTGTTTGATGCATAAGCTTGTCTGAACACACGAGGATAATTCTAGCCACACACTATCGAAAACAGCAAGCAGCCATTTCTTCTAAGGGGGAACTAAACCAGATCAATACGTCCTGCCAAGCAACTACGTAGTTTCAAAATGCTTTTTTGGTCCGAAATTGTCACAAGTCTCCAGGAGCACCCGCCAGTATCACTTGATTTTTACAAGCCTGCCTTGAAAACTCGTTGCCTTTTTCACCCTTCGAAATTCGGCTCAAATGGCACCTCCCATAAACTCTTGGCGGACAGACTCTGCTGCTCCTTCTGAACTCTCCCTCAGAGCTTTGAGCAGCACCTACCTTATATTCAGGCATTTGAAGATGCACAATTTCGTGTGGTTGTTGAATGTCAGTTTAGTTCGTTGAATGAGCAGCCTGAACTCAAGGGAATAAAGGAACAATGACATTCTCAGTTTTTAAGACAAGATTGTTTTCAACTAATGTCCACTGAAATGTGAAATGCATATTTTCAGTGGCCTTATAAATTGTATAAATTTTGCACAAGCTTAAGAACCTTCGCTCAGTCTATGTGTTCCTATGGGCCAGGCATGGCGGTCCACCCCTGTAATCTCAGCCTTCAGAGGACAGAATAAAGGGAGATCGCAAATATGCGCCCAGCCCGGACCGATTAACAAGACCGTGTCTCCAAAATCTTCGTTAGCAATGTGAAGACTTGTTTCTATGGAAAAGTACATTTCCACTTCGGCACACATAAAAGGGCTGTCGGTAGCGGAAGCGGTTTCTGAGCTAATATTTTACACAGTGTTCACTGTGAAATTGCTGTGCTTTCTGGCTCCGTTAGAAGCCGTCCCCCTCCGTTTCCCTGATATCTGCTGTTTCTGCCTCCAACCTCCTGAGATATATCCCATTTTCAGAGCTTATCTCACTTTTTTTTCCCTTCGTGGTGGTTTGTGGCTCAAAGTTTGGGTCTTTGTTGTATTTCTTGTCTCCCTTGAATCCATTATTCATGCGACTAGTTTACCGTGGTGTGCCTCTCTCTCAGGGGATGAGCACTGTGCAGTTGGCTTTGGGATGTTCGCAGTGTGGTTTCGAAGCATGTCCCTGAGGGGTGGGGCAGTCTTCGGCTTCACGTCGGAACAGCACCTCACTCCCCTCATTTACCATCTGAGCTCAGAGCAGACACCGTCCAAATTTCAGGCTTCACAGCCTCTTTTCTCTCATGATTCTGTTTTCTGTTCATCTCTCCAGAGATGAAGAGAAAGGAGATAATTGTGCCAAGAAGGCATCTCTCCTTGCCTTCATTGTTCTTCTCTGGTGCTTCGTTACGACATGTCAATTATTCAACACTCTGGAGAGCTGTCTTTGGAGCACAAAGTGTTACGATCATATTATATTAAGATGTTTGTTCTCTGCTTTCAGGCTACAGTGGTGGCTGCGTTGTCATGCGAGGAGGAAGTTCAGGAAGTTCAGTTGGTCGTTGGGAAGTGAAGAACTGCAGCGACTTTAAGGCAATGTCTTTGTGCAAGATGCCAGTCGACATCTGGGAGAAAAACGAGTTGAAAGAGAGTTGGCCCTTTCACCCCTGCTATTTGGATTGGGAATCAGAGGTTGGCCTGGCCAGTTGCTTCAAGGTGATGTCAAAGCTATCTGTATATTCATTTGGTCCATGCATTTGTTTGTTTGTTTGTTTGTTTGTTGCTGTTGTTTATTTAAATCCTAAGACTTTCTATCCCAATGCCTGGTACACAGCATATGCCACTATCTATTTCCTCTCTCTGCTTATGTTTATATTCTAAATAATGCTAAATTTAAAAAAGAGGCAGATGTTCCCATTGTCACTGAAGGCAGAAAGACCACGTGTCAGGATTAATCCCCAGGAAAAGAGCCCTATGCACGGTAGCAGCCCTAGGAATGGACTCTAAATGCTTGGCCAGTTTCTAGAACTGGTGGGAGGTTTCGTGCAATTTCACCTACCAGAGTTCAAGTACAGTACGGCAGACCAGTCCTGTAAGTCAGGCAAAACAATTTTACTTTTCACAGAGGCTGCAAGGAACAGTAGATCCTAGGAGCCCAGTGCCCCTGTCCCTCAAGGCTCAGGAAAGCTACCCAGGGCGGCACATGGACTCGCTTCCTACTGCAGCCCAGGGCCTAGGAAACACTATTCTCTGGGCTTTGGGCCCCATCTCGGTCCACTGGAATAAAATACTGCAGGACCCCCTGTTCTGGGAGGGACAAGGATGGTTCTTCCTCTCCTCGGGGCGCTGCATTCTCAGTACATCCCGAGCTGGAACTGCAATCAAGAAAAAGCAAAGGAAGGCCAGACCTGGTCATTTATGAAACTGTCTTCCTATAATAAATACAAAGGCACTAGTCGATGCTGTTTCTATCGCCAAGCATATGCCAAATAAAGGAAGCCCACACTCTGTGGGTATTAAAATGTGCCATTCTATATTTTTATAAGCCCATGCATGAAGTACTTATTATGAAATAATTCTTATACTAAAGATAGACTTTAAAGGCTGCTAGACACCCGAAGATCAAATAAGGTAATACAGATAGTTGGCATTCATACGTATTTTTATATATGTTTATATATAAATTATATATGTATATATTACATATCTAAATGTATATAAACCTTCTTGCTCTAAGATTTACATGTATTTATATATAAATTCATATAAACATACATGTAAATGCTTAGAGCAGGAAGGTTCGGGATTAAGGTATTAAAATATTTACATGTACAGAATAAGATGTCTTGGGGTTGGGACTCAAGCCTAAAGACAAAATTTAATTTGTTTCACATACACTGTGTATACATGGACTGAAGTCACTCTCTGCGTTGTTTGGAACAGGAAACAGTCTAACAACAGTCAGAAAACGAGACTGTCCCTACCACAGAACTTTCAGATTTTAGAGGAGTTCGCAACTTCCATTTCCATGTTAAGAATGCCCAATCTATATATGAGAGATGTATGTTGATAGACGTGTGAAATCCTTGAAGAAATGTCTGTTTGCAAATTCACTTTAGAGTCTAGATTTAAACAATTCTTACAATTGTCTTCTTAGAAATATCCACTTTTAAAAAAAATTACTTTTCTGTTTGGTAGTTTCCTCTTGGTTCGTTCTACAGGTAGCAATTCTCTAAGTCTGTGGAGGAAGTTTTCCCCCATCATCTGGGCACATGCAGGATGAAGACAGACAGTAATCCACAGACCCTGCATTACAGGGTCTGTGTATTCCTGTGTATCTAAGTGTATGCACAGAAAAATCCCTACATAAAATTCATAAATAAAGGCCCCAGGCATGACCCTCACGGAGCAATAAGTTAAACTTCAGAAATGAGTAAACTGAGGCCAGTGAGATGAAGTGATTTGCCGAAGATCACAATTATTCCTTGACAGGGCTGGAATCAATCCCTGGGTCTTGGGACTCCCACTATAGTGTTTGTTCACTATCCATCACCTCGGTGTGTCAACAAATGCAGGTGTAGCTTGATGTGCTCAGTGCTGGGATTGATGAATCTGGAGTGATTCGGTGAGAGGTTCCCAAAGGGGGCACGTTTTGACATATAATTTAAAAGATGGAGAGGCTGTGCTGTGGTCCACAGAACTCGGAAAGGCATTCATTCTGGTCTCAGCAAACCAGAGTCTGGTGAAGGCTGTCTGGAGAGTGTATTTGCAGCATCGGAGGGTCAAGCTTAGTAACCTCAGTTACAAACAGTGAGGATGCGGAGGCCCCGGGTGGGAGTTCTGGGTCTTCAGCCTTCTTCTGGATCTCAAGACCAAAGCGGATGCTCTGAAAGCAACTACTTCCTGTTAGACAACAGCAGCTAACTCAGATATTGTAGCGCTGCCGGCTCAGCAAAGACCCAAAGACCCTAGAAATAGATCTGCTCCAGGCCCTCGGCCTTGTTTCCCCTTGCCTGTGATGGATGCTACAACTTCATTGTCATTCCGTGAATTCTAACTTGTCCTTAGCCAGGCTACCCGTTTGGAAATGGATGGATTCTGGAAGCAAGGAGTCCTGGGCCCAAGCCAGATTTATAGGGGTGTGGCCTGGCGTTCTTACTGTCTCTTGACCTGATTTTTCTCATATGCTGACAAACATTTATTAAAAGAAAACTGTCTTGTCATAAGAGGTTTAGTGAAAAAGAAGCCGAGGAGGATAAAACGGTCCAGAAGTTTTACAAGGACTGGACATGTGCTGGTTTGATATATGTTACCTTTTCAGATCAAAATTTCAATGAAAAATAATAAAGGGGCGGAAGTCTGGCTCTGTGGGGAGAGCGCATGCTCAGTATGCAGGAAGTCATCCACTTCTTTTCCCCAGTGTGCCTCCAAAAGAAGAAAAAATAATACCAAGCAGATCAGCAGCTTTGCTCTCTTTTGCGTTGCTCTACAGGTATTTCATAGTGAAAAGGTCCTGATGAAAAGATCGTGGAGAGAAGCCGAAGCCTTCTGTGAGGAGTTTGGAGCTCACCTCGCAAGCTTTGCCCATGTAGAGGAAGAAAATTTTGTGAATGAGCTTCTACATTCAAAATTTAATTGGTAAATGCCTATTAATTTTGAGAAAATTGTAGTCAAAAATTGTCTCCTAGTATTGCCTTCTTAGAGATGAGTATCCAAAGTGGTTGTTTAAAATTTCAATTAATTGTTTCATGTTTAAAAATAACTAGCCACTACTTGTGAAAGAAAAATACATCCTCAGATAGTTTTGTGGGTTTTTTCTTTTTTATTTATTTTTTTGATTATTACAATTTATTCACTTTGTATCTCAGCTGTAGTCCCCTCCCTCTTCTCCTCCTATGCTGCTTCCCCAGTCCACTGATAGGGGAGTATCTTCTCTCCTTACATCTGACCCTAGCCTTTCAGGTCTCATCAGAACTGTCTTCATAGTCTTCCTCTGTGACCTGGTAAGGCTGCCCCCGACTCAGGGAGAGGTGATCAAAGAGCTAGCCACTGAGTTCATGTCAGAGACAGCCCGAATGTTCCCCTTATTTGGTGACTGAGCTGCCATGGGCTACATCTGAGCAAGGGGTCTAGGTGTTTTGCATAAAACAAATAACAGAAGTGATAATTGTTTAAATATTCAAAACGGTTTTGTGTTTTCTGGGGAGCCAGCAATCAAGGAACTGAAGCTCTGCCCAAATGATTCCATTTACTCCAAGGCCCTTAGCATCCTCAGACAACACAATCCCATTCCACTGACAAGGATTTTCTATATATGAGAGTCCATTTACAATTTTGTTTCAAAGAGGAATCCCAACAGTTGACAGTTGAGAACAAAATCCAATCCAGCTCTCTCAGTGTACATTTGAAGAAATCATCGTTCACTCATCAGTACACATCAGTTGTTGGAATGACTCTCCATGCTCAGGAAGTTAGGAATGTAGTCTGTTTTTTGTTGGTCCGTCGGTCGGTTGGTTGGTCGTTGGTTTATTGGTTTGTTTATGGGGATTTTTCTTCTGGTGGTCAAACCTAGGGCCTTGTGTACTCTACCACTAAGCTAAATTCCTAACCCTATCACCTAAGTTTAAATGGGAAGAAACCTAAAGGCTTTATAGGTCACTCCCATGAGTGGATACATAACAACCATCAAATTATTCCCCTTTAGAATTTACAAAAATGACCTTGCAGGTGAGAGCAAATGTGATTCTTAGGGCAGGTTCCATAAGGAAAAGATTTAGTGGAGGGGTATTGTTATCGTTCTTTGAGAAGGGTGGGGGACATAGCATCAGAGGGACCAAATAAAACCGAAAAACAACGCACATATTAGAAAAATGCTCTGTAATTAGTATTGTGAAGACTTCTAGCAGGAAGCACATTCTCTCCAAAATGTTTTTATTTTCCCCCCTCTTGAATAATCTTAGCATCCCACGGAACCATTAGTTCCTGCAGGGTCCACTGCCCTGAACCCCGGGTCTCAGACAGAGCCTACATGCTGGGCACCTCGGGATGCAGAGCCCTCTCTGCCACCTCAGACTTTGTGAGGTGTGGAAGAAGCTTCCTCCACGGCTGGATGGCTTGCCAGCCATGGGAGAGGGCGTCCGCTGTCCTGGGTTCTGCTGTGCTTTGATACTTTAACCCCTTGCAGGGCATGCTTACTCATTGCGCCCATAGACCGGTTCTGTAAACAGTTTCCCTTTAAGGTCAAATGTAGTAAGTGTTACATTTGTTTACACAAGTGTCCACACCAGAAGTTCCCAGGAAAATTTCATGCATCTTTCCAATTATTGATCTTTAGCATCTGAACACAGAAGTTGTATAATTTATGCTTTCTTTTTTTGCCCATGCTACCAAGGCAATTCAGCTGTGTCAAATGTGTGTTATTTAAAAATTACACAATTTAGGAAATTAGTGGAGAGAAAATAAATATCAATTTGTCTTCTATGAACCAGTAGAGCAGGGAAAATAAAGAATGGGGGACTCAGTGAGAAAATAAACAAATGTTCCCAGTGTGGGGAGAGTGAAGCTGGTTTCTAGCCTGTGCCCTGGAGGTTAATACCCCTGGCTTGACTTCTGCCAGTCACCCCTGCCTTCTTAGAAGTATGATGTCATCAGTTGCCACCCAGGCACCAGTGAGCTCAGGTGCTTTGCATTCGACTTTGATCTCTGTCCCTCACTTGTGTGAGAAGCGGCCCTGCAGGGCGAGCACACCTCTCTGCACTAAGCATGAGAAAAAGCAGCTGTCCTGACTTCTGAGTCTCTTAAATCTTTAATCCTTCAAAATTATTCTCAGAAAATTATCTTAGTGAGATGGCTCACTGTAAAATTAGGCTTTATTGCTTGATTTATTGAGTACTCTGCAATCTGACATATTTGTTCTCTGCCTAATAGTGGGGACAATGATTCTCTGTGAAGCTTCTCACCAAGTCTAAACCAGTGGTGGCTGCTCAAGTTAATCTACCGTGGCCCAGGCTGATCTCCCACAGAGTTATTTATGTTGGAAACGGGGGGGGGGCGGGGGGGCGGGGGAGAGACTCCTCAAATGTCCTGTGTACCTTTTATTAGATGGGAATGATAATGATCAACTCACAGAAAACGTACAAACAGTTGAAAAAATAGCAAGAAATCAAACCATCGTAAGCGAGCACAGAAAGCAGAATCAAGTAGTAAGTAGGAAGGCAGTTTAAGGTCTCCTGGAGACGCCGGGCTCTGGGCTTTGCTAGCAAATTGTTTTTGTGTGCTAGGGGCCTGATTGAAAGGCATTTCCATTCTTTTTTTTTTTAATTAATTTATTTATTATGTATACACTTCCATCCTTGATGAAAAGCTCCTGTTCTCAGTGTAGGTTGACCTTTCCTCCCCTATGTCCATGAACTCCGAGCCAGCCACCCAGGACCTTGTGAGCCGAAATGTCTTCTTCCATCATTTCATAGCGCAGGGTTTTGCACGTAAAACGACGCTTGATCCCTTTCTGTCAGCTGACCCGGCCAGTCAGCATCAGCTCTCTCCTGCTCACAGAAACGCTTCAGCGCTTCAGCAGGGCCTTCCACCTAATGCTGAGAACGAGACTAGAAAGACACAGCTCTTGTTTCTTCTCTTCCTAGGACACAAGGAAGGCAATTCTGGATTGGATTTAATAAAAGGAACCCACTGAATGCCGGTTCTTGGGAGTGGTCGGATGGAACGCCTGTAAGTCTTTCCTAACTGTATACAGGAGGTGTACTTGAGCCAGGGGGTCCTGAACCCACTCGTAAAACAGCCAGGAGAACCAGAAAGTGGCTGCAGCCCTTAGGCAAACTTATCCTAGGCCTTCGCCAAGACAGTGATTCCAGGAAAGGTCCTGGGAAACCTGGGGTGACCATACTGTTCTGGGGTCCCTATAGTTCATCCTGAGAAGAAATCCAAATCTCCAAAACTATGCCCCAAACTGCCCCTCGTTCAGAGGGACAGCTGTTCTTTTCAATACCGGGCTTCTAATACCAGGCTTCTGCACAAGGCCTGACTGTGTGAGCATGTGGCCTTTCTCCATGCCACAGGGAAAAAGAAACTACTTGGAAGCTTCTGAGATAGATGAGCAGATAAGCATGCTTGCTCTGCAACCATGAGGACGTGAGTTCAAATCTCCAGCACCCACATAAAAAGCCAGGCATAACTGCACATACCTCCAGTGTTGGGGAGCAGAGACAGAACTCTCCGGCCAGCCAGCCAGGCCAGAATGGAGAGTTTCCAGTTCAGTGAGAAAGCCGTAAGGTAGAGACATCAGCCCAGAGGAGGGCACAAGGCTCCCTTCTCTGGTCTCAGCCTGCTCCTGCTCCCACCATACACACACACAGAGAGAGAGAGAGAGAGAGAGAGAGAGAGAGAGAGAGAGAGAAAGAGAGAGAGAGAGAGATTTTTCTTGGTTTGTTCAGTGTTTTGTTTTTTTGTTTGTTTTTCAAGACAGGGTTTCTCTGTAGACTTGGCTGTTCTGGACTCACTTTGTAGACCAGGCTGGCCTCAAACTCAGATCGATCCACCTGCCTCTCCCTCCCTGAGTGCTGGGATTACAGGTGTGCACCACTGCTCCAGGTGAAAGAGAGTATTTTTAAGGATGGTTTTTACTCTGATGGTTTCTGTCTCTGAAAAAGGACAAATACCATCAGGCTTAGGAATAACTCCTTCTTAGTCAGAAAAGGTAGTTCCAGAAGGGGGAATACGGTTTGCTTTTGATTCCGTGCTATACTCACAAACTCTGTGAAGGGAAGAAGGAGCCGGATGGTGCATTGTTTTTCCAGGTGCATTGAGGAATTCTCAGATTTCCATCAAGGTGACAAGGAAAATTATATGACACCATTTCAACTCTGAAAGGGAGCAGTTAGAGCCAGCCTCCAGGGAACATGTGAGGCGGCTGCTGTTTCCCAGACCTTCTTAACATCCTGTGCCGGTGGACAACAGAACAATTAACCCACAAAACTTATTACACAGGGCAGCCAGGATCTGCACACAGTTGTCCAGTGCTGTGACATCTCCCGGTTTGTAAAATACCAGCAGTCCAGTGTGGATAAAGACCAACTGGAAAAAAAATGCTTATTCAAAAGATGTTTGAATTTATAGCTAAGAAGAGATTTAAAAGAAAAGGGGAAAAAAAGAAAACCTGTGTGTTTCTACAGGGTACAATAATAACGAAGAAATGCTAGTTTAAAACTGATACTAGCCACATTTTCCACTCCAACAGTGCTTCCTTTTAAAAGGGTGTCAAGGACAAGGAGTGCGAAGAGACCCTGGAGAGGGTTTGGAATCCCTCAGCTGTGCCTATCCGTTTTACTAAAGAAGAAACGAAGATCCAGAAATGGAAGGGGTGCTAAAGCCATTTTACCTGTGGGAAATGAGATGTGGTGCATAGGAGTTGAAATACTTTGTTTTGTTTTAGTCACTCAAAGTCATTCAGGACAGGACAGGGACAGACAAATGATAAGAGCACATGATACAGAGAGGAGTGATGGACGGAGGTGCTCGAAACAAATGATAACCCATGCCATTCTCTAAACACGAGGATAGAGACACATTAGGTGAATTGATGTACAGCGCTGTGCGTATCTAAATAGTTCGAAGTGGCTTCTGAGCATCCTCTCATGTTCTACATTTTCACCCTAACTTTCATTTGTGGTTCATCCTCTCTTCTGTCAGGTAATCATTAAATAGTTGCAAGGGTTTACACTGAATTTAAAAACACCTGTTGTGGGAATCATATAGAATATATGGTCACTCAAAAATAAAGTTGCTTTCCTAATTGATGGAAGTTATCTCTGGAGCCAGGCATGGCATCACATACCTTTAATCCCAGCACTTGGAAGGTAGAGGCAGGTGCTTGTCTATGAGTTCAAGGTGAGCCTGATCTATGTAGTGATCTATGTAGGGATAAGTAGTGAGACCCTGTCTCAAAAAAGTAAAACTAAAACAAAAAAGCTTTTCTGCCTTAAGACTTTAGTCCTTAAAAACTAAATGCTTAGTATTTCCCATAAATGCTTAGCAAATGGATGGCATCAAAGATGATACCAAAAATCTGGGACATCCTTGAGCCTCTACACTTACCCAAGACTCCAGACAACAGCTGTCTTAGTCAGTGTTCTATTGCATGACCACAGCAATTATTATAAAAATAAGCATTTCACTGGAGCTGGCTTACAGTTCAGAGGTTTAGTCCATGGTCATCATGGCAGGGTGATGGCACACATACAGTCAAGGTGCTGGAGGAGGAGCCACGCACTCTACATCCAGATCTGCAGACAGCAGGAAGGAGAGAGAAACCTCTGAGCCTGGCTCCGGCATCTGAAACCTCAAAGCCCACCCCCAGTGACACACCTCCTACGCCAAAAAGGCCACACACACGTTCTAATCATTTCAAATACTACCAGTCCCTATGAGGAGCTATTTTCATTCACACCACCACAATGGTGCAAGTTCAGAAGGAAGCATACATCTGATTTCTTCTGGAGAAAACATTGGAGAGAGTCGTGTGTGTGTGTGTGTGTGTGTGTGTGTGTGTGTGTGTGTGCACATTTTCACATGTGTGTGGAAGCCAGTGGCCAGTGTCAGGTGTCTTCCTCAATCACTCTCTACTTTTTTTGAGACAGGACCCCCAATTAATCCAGGAACTTAACTAGTTAGGTACCCTGGCTGGCCCAGGTTCCTGCCTTCCGTGCTGAGATGGCGAGCACATGCTGCTACGCTGCTGTTTTGTTTTGCTTTTTAACACGGGTGATACTTAGGTCCTCATGCTTGCTACAGCAAGTGTTTTACTAGCTGCTGCATCTCTCCAGCCCCTCATGCCTCTCTGCGAGAAAGAAAGAGGGGAAAAAAATGCTAAGTACTCACCAGCTTAGTCTTCACTAATGTGGACCAATCTTCCTCTGGAACGTCACATAGGCATTTCTGAAGATCCCTCTGAAGTCCCTCGGGCAGTGGTTCTCAACCTTCCTAATGCTGGGACCCTTTAAGAGAGTTTCTCATGGTGCGGTGACCGCCAAACATACAGTTATTTTCGTTGCTACCTCACAATTGTAATTTCTCTACCGTTGTGGATTGTGATGCAAATACCTGTGTATTTCACGGGGGCCTTTCACCCCTGTGAAAGGGCTGTTTGACTTCCAAGGGGTTGGCCACATGCTGGTTGGAAACCGCTGCCCTAGTGCCTGCATCACGAGTGCCCTCTCGGCTCTTCTGAATCTCCTCTGAGGGATCATCATTAAGGAATAACTAACTTCATCCGCCGCAGGTTGTCTCTTCATTTTTAGACAATGCTTACTTCGAAGAAGACGCCAGGAGCTGTGCCGTGTATAAGGCAAACAAAACCCTGCTGCCCTCGAACTGTGCTTCCAAACATGAGTGGATATGCAAAATCCCGAGAGGTATGAGACCTTTCCCGGGATGTTTTCACTTTAATGATGTGCAGAGATTCGAACCCTCAGCACTAGACCCCCGAGCCACACGGATGAACCCAGCTGTGCTAATTTAGTAAAGCAGAGATCATGGGAGGAAAGACAGCGCAGTACCCTGCACCCAGCAATCCTGAGGCGTGAAGGGCACCAGCTGACCTGTGGAGCTAGCACTTCTGACGTCACGAGCACTCGCACACGGGAGCTCCTGTCCCGTGAGCACGTGGAAACACGGGGTGTGACAGGCGGCTCGTGTCCCTGTCCTTTCTTCAGGCTCTCTGGAGATTGCCCTGCAAGCCCGAACTCTTCACGGAGTCTAAACCGTGCAGGGTATCCGCCCTAAAGCTTGTCTCTTTGAAGGTGGAGCAGGAATAGCGGGGTTAGAGCAGAGGGAGTTCAGAAAGCGCGTGCACCCGCACGGAAGTCTCAGGCACCGTGTTTTGCTTTCAATCTGCAGATGTGAGGCCCAGCTTTCCACTCTGGTACCAGTACGGTAAGAGCCAACCTGGCAGTGCTCTAACTTCCAAATGCACACAGCAGAAGGGATCTCGTAACTGCTCTAACCTGCCCTTCCCATACTACCGCTCCCTTCTCTTTGTCACTGTCCTTGGGCGGCATGGCATGGCGGAAGCTCAGAGAGTGATGATGACCACTGCAGCCTCACTAAGATGTAGGGGTGGGGTTGGGGTGGAGGTGGGGCTTTACACCCTTTTTTAAAATGCAAAGTGACCAAATTACAATTTAGGAGTCAGTCACAGCCCACTCTCTTCAAGCCCGCCCTCCATCTCTCACTGGTCTTGACAGGACCCCATCGTCACCTGGTTCTCTTGCAGATGCGCCCTGGCTCTTCTATCAGAATGCCGAGTACCTGTTCCACACCCACGCCGTGGAGTGGGACGCCTTTGAGTTTGTCTGTGCCTGGCTGCGAAGTGACTTCCTCACAATTTATTCTGCTCAGGAGCAAGAATTCATCCACAGCAAAATCAGAGCGGTACATGAACACAAATCACTACACAAAATTCATAGCTTACACCTTCTTCTGTCCTTGAGGGGGGGGGAAGAAATATTTTTAGGATCTGACTTTACACATTCAAGCTTCCAGAACAGACACAGACTTGTTTGAAGATGGATTTCCTCCCCACGCTGCAGATTAATAGAAAACAATGGAGACCGTGGGTCTGTTATGTTGTTATATCTGTCCTTTGACTTTGGTTTGTTCTTTAATCACAACGGTGGTAAGTTGGTCTGGTCCTGTTTACTGAGATTCATTCATTGCTCCTGAGGTTTCATTTCCCTAGGATGCAGGCGCCACCCATGAGGGCTCACTTTCCTCATCTAATCACTTCCCAGAGGCTCGCGCTTCCTAATCTTGAGAGTTGGGATTTCAACATAAAAGACCAGGGAGGGAGGACACATACACATTCAGTCTGGTAGGGTGTAGCTGTAGATTAACAAGCAGTATTTATTTCTTCCCATGATTGGTATGTTTTGTTGTCAGTAGTATGGTGATATTATGGTGAGCATTAACATTTAACAAGTGAGAAGCCTCATGCTTCAGAATATCCTTGTAAACCGGATGTGGTGGTGCACATCTTTAATCCCAGCACTCTGGGAGGCAGAGGCAGTCAGATTGCTGCAAGTTCAAGGCCAGCCTGGTCTACAAAGCAAGTCCAGGACAGCCAAGGCTACCCAGAGAACCCTGTCTTGAAAAAAAAATAATAAAAATAAAAATTAATTAATTAATTAATATCTCACAACCAAACTTTGGGCAGAGTGCAGGGAATCTTATGGAAGAAGGAGGAGATAGAAAGACCTGGAGGGGACAGGAGCTCCACAAGGAGACCAACAGAGCCAAAAAATCTGGGCCCAGGGAGGCCTGCAGAGACTGTTGAATCAACCAAGGACCATGCATGGCTAGAATCGAGAAAGGAAAAAAATAACATTTATTTGGAGTATGGAGAATTTGATATGAGATATAAATCTGGGTACAATTTCTCTAACAAGAAATGACTTTTCATTTGAAGAATGCTTATGTTTTCTCTCCCTCTCTGATAACAGGCCATGAATGTTATCAGAGTGAGCTTTGAATGTGTCCCTTTTGACCAATCTTCTCCTTCTGATCAGTGATTAGTTGTATGTGTGGTAGGATTAGAGTTTGGCGATCATCTTTTATATATAGATGACAGATTGCCTTTGCTTTGGAAAGCTTAGTAGATAAACATATCGGCTGGTGTTTCTAGCTCATTGGAATGTGCCCTTCCATGTAATGTTAACTGTAAAGCTGCTTGAGCATAGCAAATGTAAGTGATTCGTGAAATGTGTGGTCATATCATGTTTCCTTCTTTAAAATGTAGGTTCCAGTGTTTGCGACCATCCGTATACCTAGCTGACATTTAAGATATTCACTTTCCACACGGGGATGTTTTGGCCAGGCATCTTTTATGGCTCGTGCCACGAACATCACGGCTGTTGCTGTGCTGTGTGGGAGATTGTCATACCTTAATTCAGGTGGTAGTATACATGGCACTTAAGATGTAAACGTGTCATAACTTCTCTCTCTACCTGGGAACAGTGAGCGATCAGGCCGTGCTTTCGACTGCTGCTGCCCAGGAGCCTTCTCTGGGTGTGATAAAGCTGTGGTCTCCCCGCTCCATCAAGACCCAGTCTCAATAGAGCCATTCCACAGTCTTAAAGGGGGAATCTGAATTCCGAGTGTGGGAACATGCCCATGAAACAGCTCCTCAGGGATCTCAGATTATTGTAGTTCCCCTCTTGCAAGAGTCTCAAATTGCTGGTCTGGCAGACAGCCACGCTGTTTAAGGAGTGGAAGCACACTTGTTTCAAAATTAAAATGTGAGCAAGCTATCGGGCTCGGTTGCACGATGACCTGAAATTCATATGGAAGTAAATAACATATCTTAAAATCCATCCCCAGGCCTTCTCAAAAGGAAACAAGGGTATGCATTTAAATGCATAATGCCTTGGAATTAATAGTCTGGGGGCATAGAATAGCTAATTTGCATTTTGATACACCCACAGAGGGAGCAAATTTACCATAAAGCACTCCGCACGGGAAGGCTCGCTGGAATCCTGTCTGTCCCTTCCTCTTTTACGGTTAAGGGAAGGCTCCAATTTCCTGGGCTATAAGTCCAGCCTGACATCTGCTGTGCGGTGTGGATGGGTATGTGCACCTGCGCCCGGGGTTTTTCAGTTTGATACTCCACTGTGCTACGCTCAGTGATTAATATTGGCCTTGGATTAATAAAATGGACAGAGGATGACTTCCTAAGCTGTCAAATATTGGAATTCTGTAGCATCCTTTTGTCCGATGCCATGTCTCTCTCTGAATGTTGCACTGTCTAAAGCCTAACAAACTAACACCCAGACTCTAAATCTTTATTCTGTTAATGTCTTCGTACCTTGTTTGTCAAACAGATGTCACATCTGCAGTGAGCTTCCATAAATCATGGAGAGAAGAAGCCACTAACTATAGTCAGGAAAGGAATCCACCTTCTCTCTTACGTTATATGGCTTCTTACAGAGTTAGAAAGTTTGCTTTTCAAGATGAATGAAACAGAAAATATTTTCAATGGTTCACTTCAATTCTCTTTCATAATGAACAGGGAGTGTTCTAGAATAATGCAGTTTTAAGTTTTCTCTAGATAACTAGACCTTAGTTACTCTTTCTTATATAACTGGGTAAAATCACAGTGAATAAAAAGCTAATAGCATCTCCACTGATTCTAACAGGGAAAATTTTAAGCAAGAACAATAAATGCTGACATTTTCTTTCTTTCTCCTCTTTAATAGCTATCGAAATATGGTGAAAATTGGTGGATTGGACTTGAAGAAGGAAGAGCCAGTGAGCAAATTCAGTATGAACTGATATTAATCTGTATTTAACATCATTTGATTAGTTGTATGTGTGATAGGATTAGAGTTTGGCGATCAGTTTGCTGAATAGCCTTCAGCTGCTATCCTTGACATATGAATTTTCATTCTTCTAACAAAAGGCATGAGCATTTTTTTTTTTTTACCTCAAATGCCAGTCTATGCCACACCCATTACCTGGGAAAGCTTCTGCATGCCCTATTGTGTGTGTGTGTGATTTTAAAAAACCAGCACAAAATTTACTTTTAGAAAACTTTCATGCATAACAATGCAGTATTAACTGTAGGTAAAATGCTACATGCATACTTACCCAAGTTGAATAAACTATGACACTTCAAGTCACTACCCCAGAACTACAAGGACGGATTCAGGTACTGAACATGCAAACTAAGACCTTAATATTATTTTTTTTCTTGAGGCTGGAGAGGTTAAGAGCCCTGGTGTCTCTTTCAGAATCTCATTCCCAGCACCCGCAGTGGGCAGTTCACAAACCCCTGTAATGCCAGCTCAAGGAGACATGTCGCCCCCTTCTGGTCTCCACAGGCATCTGCACACATCGTGTGTGGCATAAATAAACACCAACAGTAATGTGAAATGTGGAAAAAATAAATCTTTTAAAATTTTTCCTCAGTTGGCGTAATGGGTCGCCCGTGATATTCCAGAACTGGGACAAAGAGAGAGAGAAAAGAAAGGGTAACCAGAGCCAGCAATGTGTCTTCATTTCTTCCACAACAGGTAACGTTACGTGTCCATGCTTGAGTTTACAGTGCAAACACCTCTAGAGGCTGCCAAGCTCCTTCGTGCGCTATGTCTGTTTTCAGTTGATGGTGTGTAGACTCATGCGTTGTCAGGTTTCTGGACGACCACTGTCCTGTGAAATTCATGCAGTCACATGCCTGTAAAGACCTTACAACTGGACCTCCTCTGGGACCAGGCACTCGTGCGTTGTACACGCACGCACTCAAGCAAAACACTCATATGCACACAATAATAAAAATAAACCTTTCAGAAAGGCATGCCCTTCCATAGCAAAAATGAACAAAATAGATGTTTCTTGTCCCTGCCGAAAAACAGTTAAGAGTTGCTCACTGATTTGTACGAGAAAATATACTATAACTGGAGGATGAAGTGGGAATCGAATTTAAAATATACACGAAGCATCTCCCTCAAAGAAGGTGTGAGTGAGAGCAAAAGCAAAGTGTACTGAGTGTAGAAAATACAAACAAATCATAAAAACAGTAAATATAAAATCATTAAAGTGACTGAGTATGCTGGGGAAAAACATGCCTTGTATATGCTATTCTCTGTGTAATGTCAGCGCAGAGCTATTTTCCATACATCTTTGCTGTCTTATTTATAAACAGGATGACACTTTAGCATCTGTGAAATGTACTTCCATTTTCCCCTCAGATGAAAGAAAGAAAGAAAGAAAGAAAGAAAGAAAGAAAGAAAGAAAGAAAGAAAGAAAGA